CATGAGATATCTGGGCAGAAAGAATTAGAGCACTGTGATAGAAGCTCTTAAAATCCTTATATTTCTACTGTTAGAACAATCAACATATATTCAGCACCTATTGAATGTTGAGATTCTGAAGCATGTTGGATCAGCTGAAAGTGATCACTCAGTAAAGTGAACGAGAGCCTTAATTCTGAGATAAAACTAGCAGGATCAAAATAGAGATGAGCTTTCATAACTTCGGGATGACTTCTTTTAAAAATAACACGCCATCAATAAAAACTGCATTTAACAGCAATTACGTTAATTGAGTCTAATGTGTGTGGTTGAAAACACTCAGACAACTCTTTACATATACCTCATATCCTGTGTAAGGCCATGTCTATTTCAGTATGGATACATATTTTATTACACATATTAACAATATCCTCCATAGTAGTAGGTCATAAATGTCTAAGAGAGAAGCCTCATGGGAAAATAAATACCAAAAAGTTCAAACTACGTATATACACATCCATCTTTTTTTTTTTTTTAAAGATTTTATTTATTTATTTGACAGAGAGAGACACAGCGAGAGAGGGAACACAAGCAGGGGGAGTGGGAGAGGGAGAAGCAGGCTTCCCGCTGAGCAGGGAGCCCGATGCGGGGCTCGGGGCTCAATCCCAGGACCCTGGGATCATGACCCGAGCCGAAGGCAGGCGCTCAACGACTGAGCCACCCAGGTGCCCCTACACACATCCATCTTTAAAATGTCTTTTTGAAGCAGCTTAAAGAAATAAACACTGAGGTATTACTTTGACAAAGTAGATCACAACATATTGAAATTTGTGCAGGGTTGCATATTGTCCTTTACTTACCACCCTGCTTCCCAAAAGGACACACAAAAACAGCTTATGAGCTGGTTAGGAATTCTCACTGCACCCACACAAAGGATAGAAACACATCATAAAGCAACAGATGAGTACATGTACATGATATTGGAAGTCATTTGTTTTTGTTTTTGTTTTTTTTATTCTTATGTTAATCCCCATACATTACATCATTAGTTTTAGATGAAGTGTTCCATGATTCATTGTTTGTGCATAACACCCAGTGCTCCATGCAGAATGTGCCCTCCTCAATACCCACCACCAGGCTAACCCATCCTCCACCACCCTCCCCTCCAGAACCCTGTTTGTTTTTCAGAGTCCATCGTCTCTCACGGTTTGTCTACCCCTCCGATTTCCCCCCCTTCATTCTTCCCCTCCTGCTATCTTCTTCTTCTTCTTTTTTTTTCCTTAACTATATTGCATTATTTGTTTCAGAGGTACAGATCTGAGATTTAACAGTCTTGCACAATTCACAGCGCTTACCAGAGTACATACCCTCCCCAGTGTCTATCACCCAGTCACCCCATCCCTCCCACCCCACCCCCCATTCCAGCAACCCTCAGTTTGTTTCCTGCGATTAAGAATTCCTCGTATCAGTGAGGTCATATGATACATGTCTTTCTCTGTTTGACTTATTTCGCTCAACATAATACCCTCCAGTTCCATCCACGTCGTTGCAAATGGCAAGATCTCATTCCTTTTGATGGCTGCATAATATTCCATTGTATATATATACCACATCTTCTGTATCCATTCATCTGTCGATGGGCATCTTGGCTCTTTCCACAGTTTGGCTATTGTGGACATTGCTGCTATAAACATCGGGGTGCACGTACCCCTTCGGATCCCTACTTTTGTATCTTTGGGGTAAATACCCAGTAGTGCAATTGCTGGATCATATGGTAGCTCTATTTTCAGGAAGTCATTTGTTTTTAAAGTGATAGAAAGGTGATCAGAGGGCATACAGTTAGGAAAATACTTTGTAGCAGAAATCTCACCTGATTGTTAAGGATTCAGATTGTGTCTGACAAAATCATGAAGCATTGCCTCTAAAGCATATTTGCATGTCTATGGCATAGGAATCATGTTTGGAAAGTTACTCTGAAGGACTAAGAGACCCACCTCACGGAGTTTCAGTTTGACATGGTAAGAGAGCCTTAGTCATAGAAGACGCCTGAATCTGAGCTCAGGGTCCATTCTGTCACTCACACTTGTTTCCTGCTCTGCTTTTATTGGCCCCATGTCTGAGTCCTAGAAGAATGTAGGCTTAATAAGTGCTAAATATATGTTGACTATGCTAGCATGAGAAATATGAAAGACTAAGAGATTGAAAGAGCTGTTCCAGTAAAGGCATGATCGAACATCAGAGACCTAAGCAATATTACTAGGGGGCCCCTCTAATCAACTGGGATATGAAGGGAGAAAGGATATTTTTTCCTACTTTGACCCAGACCACCCTTTGCCTTAATATCAAGAGGGGTCTAGTTGACAACACTTTATGGAGCAAAGATGCACCTGATGGGAAATTGCAGCACTCAGTGGAGTCTGGTGACACTCAGTGGGAGCCTGCTGTACCTGGTGGGACAGAGTCAATACAGTCCCACTGGAATACACTTATGCATGAACACTTGTTACACACTATTACTCTGAAAAGTCCTGAACGCCTTGGAACGCAGGGCCAGGACAGAGTGGATTTTTAAAGAGGTCTAAGGAGGGTCCAGCAGTCAAAAAAGAGATTTGAAGTATCAATGATTTTTAAGACCCCATTATATCTTCAGGTTGCTAAAGTCTGGGAAAGTCAAATTATAAAGGATTAAATTTTTGGATTTCCTTTTTTTTTTTTTTTAATTTTTTTTTGAGAGAGAGAGGGAGAGCACAGAGGGAGAGGGAGAGGGAGAAGCAGACTCCCTGCTGATCAGGGAGCCTGACACGTGACTCGATCCCAGGACCCTGGGATCATGACCTGAGCCGAAGGCAGATGCTTAACTGACTGAGCCACTCAGGCGCCCCAAATTTTCGTATTTCCAATTGTTTATAGGTTTTTGGTTTGAGTCTTCTAACTGACAGAGTTGAATAATTAGATTAAAGATAAAAATTAGTTTTCCCTTAAATATTTTATTTTGCAAGTTTTCCATTATACACGCTCATCTCCATGCACATAAATACATACAACTCTCTCCAATAAAAGTAAAATGTTCTAAGTATTTGTTCTTTGGTTGTAGAAAATGTACAGTTCTCTCCAATAAAAGTAAAACATTCTGAATATTCATCCTTTTATTGTAGTAAATAGGTAGTTACTAAAAATTATTTTCTAAAATATTTATCAGTTTTTTATGTAGCTTTACCCTCCAGCCCCCACTGGAATATAAATGTGAATATGGGTGCCAAAGATGATACTTCTAAGAGATAATTAAATTCTGGTTCAATTCACTTTAGACGAACTGGGAAGTGTCTTGTATTTTATCGCCTCTAGCTTCTCACACTAAAAGCAATCCCTAAAGAATTTGCTGCATGGAATGTTTTTTCTATCTAAAGCAACTGTTGGCTTTGACTCTATGACAGAATTGACCCCAGTTATATTTCTTGAAGTTCAAATATTTGGTATTTCTTCAATGAATAAACTACACTACAACATGCCCCAAGGGAAATTGTTTTAAAATAGAGAAGGGACAGATAAGAAAGTTGATCACATAACACACATGTTTGGTCTATTTTGCCCTCCAGTTTATTTTAGTGTTTTGGTCAAATGAAAGTAGATTGATAAATATATTTTAAAAATGAATTCTAGATAGATCATAGAATAAAAACTTTAAAATGATAGTGTAAAATAACCTAGAAGACAATGTGGGTATGTACAAAATATTGAGTCTGGAAATAGAAATATATTTATAGAATATATCTAAGACATAAATGAAAAGTTAAGGTGAGACTTTACAGAGAATAAAAAAATGAAAGAGAGGACTATAGAAGTGAATAGAAAAAATTCTGAAAACCAAAACATTATTGAAAGATAAGTGGCATACTGGAAAACATGGCTGATAAAACAAATCCTTTAAAAGAAGAATGAATTAAATAAGGCATGAAAACTTTGTAGAAAAATATTAATTTCCTCAAACAGCTAAATCTCCTTTATAACTAAAGAAATATAAAATAAAAACCTATAAATTTAGAATTCTCTTTACAAATACAATATTCAAACTTTGTGAGAGTGTGGGAAAAGAAACATTTATACATTGTTATTGGAATATAAGTTGATTCCACTTTTGCAAGAAACAGAAAAATACTCAACCTCTTATTACAAAATTCTGCATTCATGGATCTGTTATAAACATGACATGGAAAAAATAACCATATAAAACATGAAGTGAAAAAAACCTGGATTCACAAGGATACCTGCCTTATCTGTTGTATGATCTCAATTTTATAGTGAAAATGGGAAAAAAAATACAGCAATATTAACAATGGTTACCAGTATGAAAGGTAGTTTTAAATCAAGATAGGAACTGAAGGATTTAAATAATAGGGTTCTACATTTGTACACAAAATATCAGTTAATATATCTAAATCTATCTCATATCACATAAACATATAAATCCATTAATTAACACAGTAACTACCTATGTAACACCTACTATGTGACTGATACAATTTTCATGGATGGGTAGTATTGAGGGAGTACATTTTTCTTCTATTTTTCTTGTCAGGTAAAGAATATAGTCTTCTGTAAACAGATTGGAAGGTCCATAGTGACATAAAAATTGTATAAAGAATCTCTTTTTCAGGGTACCTGGGTGTCTCAGTCAGTTAAGCGTCCGACTCTTCATTTTGGCTCAGGTCATGATCTCAGGGTCCTGGGATTGAGCCCTGAGATAGTCTTTGGGCTCAGTGGGGAGTCTGCTTGAAGATTCTCTCCTGCTCCTCTCCCTGCTCATGTGTGCTTGCGCTCTCTTTCTCTTTCTCTCAAATAAATAAATCTTTAAAAAAATATATCTTTCTCTCTCCCCTTTACTGAGGTGAGTTTAGATAGCATTACCTTAGGATATTAGTATATTTGACATTATACCTTCTACATTAAGATTAGGCCATTAAAGTTTATATATGAATCAATGAGAGAAATGATGAATACCACACAATTTAGTATTTGTAGAGTTGAAAGAAAATTTATTACTAGCTGGTGATCAGTTACTACATATCACTGAGAAGGTCTATTACAAATGGTTCTTTTGTGACTTTAATCATATTTTTAGTGATTTTTCTGGTCTTTCCCTTACTATGGTGAATTACCACAAGATTTGCTTGGCAGGATTTGACATGTGATTACTTCCTTCTCCGTGATGTACTTTCTCTCGGTGACTTTCAGGCTCTGCTCCTACCAGGTTTTCCTCCCACCTCACTGGCATGCCTTCTTGGTTCCTTTTTTTCTTTTTTTTTTTTAATCCTCCTTTCTCAGACCTCTCACTGGTGGTATGACCCAGCGATTAGTTTGGGTCCTCAGCTCTATCCATATTCACCTCCTTGGTAATGTCATCCAGCCTAGCAGCTCCAAGTGCCTTTAAACACAAATGATTCCAAAATTTATATCCTTTAAATTCCATGTTCACATATCAAACCACCTTGGAAATATAAGGGATATTCACTTGGATATGTAACAGACACCTCAAACTTAATATGCCCCTAACAGAAACCATAATCTCCAGACTTCTGGCAACTCCCTCCCTAAGGAGGAAAAAAAAACCCCAAAAACGAAAACAAAACAAAACTTGCTTCTCTTGCAACCTTCTTTCTCCCAGGTAATGACACTTCCATTCTCCCAATTGCTCAGATCAAAAACTTTAGTCTTCCTTGACTTCTTTTTACTCTCACATTTCACATCTAGTCCATTAGGAAATCCCACTAGCTCTCCTTTCAGAAGATATTTCACTTTTGCTTAAGCTATCAATACTCTTCACCTGGATTATGGCAATTACCTTTTATTGGGTCTGTTTTTAACTTTGTACACTATAGTCTGCTCTAACTACATCAGCAAGAGCGATACTTTAGATTGTTCGTAAGACCTGCAAAGCCCAGGGTCTGGATCCCTGTTACCTCTCTGACCTCTTCACCTGCTACTTTCTCTCTGCTTGAAGCAGTGCCTCTTTTTTCCTTCTTGAAAATGCCAGTCATCCACTCACCTTAGGGCCTTTGCACTGTCTGTTTTCTCTGCCCCAGTACTTTCGTTCTCTAGATACCTGCATGGCCAACTTCCTAGCTCCTTTGAGTTTTTTCCCAAATGTGTCACCTTCTCAATGAAACTTACGTGGACTACTATATTTAAAATTACAACCAGTCGATCTGAACTTCTGAGATCCCTTCCCCTGCTTTATATTTTGCCATTAATGATACTTTTATATTTCTAGCATATTTTATCATTTATTTATTTTTCATGTTTGGTGCTTATTATTGGAAATTGTCCACTAAAAATAAGCCCCACAAGGTCAGGAATTTTTTTTTCTTTTTTGTTTACTTGCATATCCCAGTATAGAGAAGAATGCCTGCCATATGGTAGATACTCCAGAAATATCCATTGAGTGAATTAATGGACTATAAATGATTATAAGCTGTGATCATGTCTATGTGGGTAACTGCTGGATTCCCAGAGTCTAGCATATGGTTTAGCATTTAGTATACTATAGGAATATTTGCTGAATGAATGAATGGATGAATGAGAACGAGAAGTGGATTTATTAATCATGACACAACCTTTGGTCACAAGTCCATAGTTTATGATAGCATATATTTTTCTTTGTTTCTTCAAATTAATAATACTTACAAAGCCTTATAAGCTACACAAAGATAGTAAGTACTTAATGAGTTCCCATAGGGCATAACCATAGACTAAGAAATGGAGTGATGGTAATCACCTGCTGCTGCAGATGATGCTATGAACATGACCTGGTCCAAATGCTATCCCCGTCCTCTGAGAGTGGAGAGATCTCTCCTTGGCTACATTCTGAGTAATAAATTTTTTTCCCAGTAATTCTTAGTAGCTGTTTTTAACTTTTGTGGTGGTTTTCTCCCTCACTTTTATTTTGAAAATTTTAAAACCTATATACATTTTCTAATTGTAGACAGACATTGCATGGAAGATTCAAAGCTTTACAGATAGCTCTCTCTCTCTCAGGCAACTGCCTTGAACATTTTCTGTGGTTTCCCAGGATATAACCAATAAGGAGACAGTAACAACTCTCCATTTCCTACTCAGGGACTTTACTATTGGTAAATTCTGACCACCATGCTTTAGATTAGTAAAAACATAATTTACAAATTTGGGGGACTCTTGCTGTAGAAATTTTGGGGGGGGGCGCCTGGGTGGCTCAGATGGTTGGGCGTCTGCCTTCGGCTCAGGTCATGATCCCAGGGTCCTGGGATCGAGTCCCGCATCGGGCTCCCTGCTCCTTGGGAGCCTGCTTCTCCCTCTGCCTCTCTCTCTCTCTCATGAATAAATAAATAAATAAAATATTAAAAAAAAAAAAAAAGAAATTTTGGGGGACTCTTGCTGTAGAAATTTTCTAGTCCACAATTACATTTCAAAAGACTTCTAAACTATCACTAAACTGGAAACCACAGTTGGATAAAGTTTAGAGGAGGATTGTTGATGTTCACCCATAGCTGCCCCATAAGTGGTGTTTATCTACCTGCTTGGTCATCAGAGTTCATGGGGAGTGGTAAGGTGATGGTGACACAGAGTGAGGCTATAAGGAAGATGTGTGATTTCCCATGATGACACAGAGACTGACATCTGGCAGGGCTGACTGAGAGTTTGGCAGTTTTTTTATCACTCAACTCCTCTTACCCTGAAAAGCTTCATGGATATTTCAACTACATTGACTATTCCTTTACCCCTGCTCCTTGGTAATGTGTTTCTTTCCTTAGCTCTACATGTTTGTTTCAATGTAATCAAAACTAAGATAAACAATTTGGCTCATAGGGTTTCTAGGAGCAAGCACACTGTAAACACGTTTGATGTAAATGAATCAGAATCGTTACTTGGTGCACACAACATTTCTTATTTAAATTCATTTATACTGTCTTAACAAAATCCCAATAGGAACTAGACCTCTACACCAAACCTTTTTGATATGATATGATATCATATCATATCATATGTATATATATATTTAAGATAATCTCAAATAGTGGAGAAAAAGGATGAATAAGCAGTTGGGGTTTCTTCTATTTAGGCAACCAGGTCAAACTGGCCCTGTGCATGAACACCATTTATGGCTTGGTTTTATAAACTAAATTCTGTGATTACAGTAAAAATCCAGCTCTGAACAGGAGGCTTTTTTGTAAAGGCATGTCCTGCAAGAGTCAGACAATTCTGAAATAGATTCCAGCTATTTAGATTATCTCAACCCAAGAACAACTAAATACTGCCATGAAAAGGACTATCAGTAGTAAATTCTGGGTTGGAGTTGCAGGTACATAAAAGCCAAATCCTTAAAGAGCCCTCCCATTCAGCAGGAGCTTGGAAAGGATAGTAAGAGGAAGAGATTAATTCTCGCTCGTGGTTTTAACTGGCCCAACTACCTCAATTCCCTTGGTGTCTCAAATTATTTCAAGCATGAGAATGAATATTTGCTAGATGTGCATATTTCCCAGTTGGAAAAGATAGTCCTTTTCCAGGAAAATTTAAAATTTGCCAGTTTTGAGATAAACTTTTTATGCATTTCCTCAGTAGTCATAATTGTTCGTGGATTGTGTATTTTGTTTCACAGTTAGCTTTTTTTGCCTTTTTATTTTTATTTTTTTAAATTTTTATTGAAATTCCAGTTACTTAACATGAAGTGTAATATTAGTTTCAGGTGCAGAATTCAATGATTCATCACTTACATACAACACCCAGTGCTCATCACACGTGCCCTCTTTAATCCCCATCACCCATTTAACCCATCCCCTGCCCACCTTCCTTCTGGTAACCATAGTTTGTTCTCTGTAATTAAGAGTCTGTTTCTTAGTTTGTCTCTCTTTTTTATTTTCCCCCATGTTCATTTGTTTTGTTTCTTTTTTTTTTCAAGTTTTTATTTAAATTCCAGTTAGTTAACATATGGTTCAATATTAGTTTCAGGTATAGAATTTAATGATTCATCACCTACTTATAACACCCAGTTCTTATCACAACCAGTGCCCTCCTTAATACCTGTCACCTATTTAGCCCATCCCCCAGCCACCTCCTCTCTAGCAACCCTCAGTTTTTTCCCTGTACTTAAGAGTCTGTTTTATGGTTTGCCTCTCTCTTCCCCCCTCTATGTTCATCTGTTTTGTTTCTTAAATTCCACATATGAGTGAAATCATATGGTGTTTGTCTTTCTCTGGCTGACTTATTTCACTTAGCATAGTACTCTCTAGTTCCATCCACATCATTGCAAATGGCAAGATTTCATTCTTTTTTATGGCTGAGTAATATTCCTGTGTGTGTGTGTGTGTGTGTACATACACACCACACCTTCTTCACCCATTCTTCAGTTGATGGACATTTGGGCTCTTTCCATAATTTGGCTATTGTTGATAATGCTGCTATAAACACCTGGCTGTATGTATCCCTTTCAATCAGTATTTTTGTATCCTTTGGGTAAGCACCTAGTATTGCAATTGCTGGATTGTAGAGTACTATTTTTAACTTTCTGAGGAACCTCCATACTGTTTTCCAGAATGGTTGCACCAGTTTGCATTCTTACCAATAATTTAAGAGGGTTCCCCTTTCTCCGCATCCTCACCAACATCTGTTGTTTCCTATGTTGTTAATTTTAGCCATTCTGACAGGTGTGAGGTGATAGCTCACTGTAGTTTTGATTTGTATTTCCCTGATGATGAGTGATGTTGAGCATATTTTCATGTGTCTGTTAGCCATCTGTATGTCTTCTTTGGAAAAATGTCTATTCATGCAAAGGAATGAAACTGGACCACTTTCTTACACCATACACAAAAATAAATTCCAAATGGATTAAAGGCTTAACTGTGAGACAGGAAACCATCAAAATCCTGGAGGAGAACACCGGTGGCAACCTTTTTGACACTGGCAGTAGGCAGCTTCTTACTAGATATGTCTCCTGAGGCAAAAGAAAGAGCAAAAATAAACTGTTGGGACTTCATCAAAATAAAAAGTTTCTGCACAGTGAAGGAAACAATCAACAGAACTAAAAGGCAACCTATGGAATAGGAGAAGATATTTGCAAATGGCATATCTGATAAAGGGTTAGTATCTAAAATATATAAAGAATGTATAAAACTGAACACCCAAAACCAAATAATCCAGTTTAAAAAATGGGCACAATGTTTTGCCTTTTTATAAATGCAAGCAGGTACAGATATTTCTATAGATTATTTCATTTTCATTACACAGCATAAAGTATTATTTAAAGTATACAAAAATACTCACAGAGCAACATGGTAGATAACCAGTTGGCAATTTCCTTTAACCATAGTAATCATCACTATATTGCTAATTAATTTGGTACTATTCTTAGCTATATACTATGTTAACTAATGAAATGAATAATAGTACATATCAATCTCTAAAAATTAGATTGAACAATTTCATTGTCTAGGTAAATAAGTTTCCTTAGTTTAACTCTGTGCCCAGCATTATCTTCCAAAGCACAAATATTTTAAAACAATTTATTTAAGTCTATTCCATTTTTACATGCTTATAATATATTCTCTCTTAATACTCACATATTTTAAATTATACATTTGAATTTGATTTTCATTTGAACATCTGACCAAAAGCAAATCATTTCAAGTATAAATATTTAATCTCTCAAGAAGAAATGGATTTATTTTCCTTCAGTGTACATGTATGCTATATATGTTTCATTTGGACATTCTTGTCTATCAAGACTTAACAAATCTATCCAAAAAAATACTTTGTATAAAGATAAATACTAATTCTGATTAGGTAGCAGTTGAAAACCTAAGCCAAAATTCATTTTGTCATCTGATATTATGTCAAATTACTTTTTTTTTTACTTGCACAAATTTTTATTTTCTAAGATTTTGTTACAATTTTATTTTTATTTTTTAAAAGATTTTATTTATTTATTTGACAGAGAGAGAACAAGAGAGCACAGGTGGGGGGTGGGGGCAGAGGGAGAGGGAGAAGCAGACTCCCTGCTGAGCAGGGGCCCCCATGCAGGACTCCATCCCAGGACCCTGGGATCATGATCTGAGCCGAAGGCAGACACTTAACTAAATGAGCCACCCAGGTGCCCCAATTTGTTACCATTTTAATATGCATTTAGGTTTATTACTGTTCATACTGAACTTTAGTCTTTGATCTTGTGTCATTTTAAAATTTATTATTGAAAATATAAAATGTTTACATGTTTAAAATCAAAACTATATAAGAAGATCTATTTAGGAATCTTACTTCCTATTGCCATCCTTTCCTGTCTGTCGCATGTACCTTCTATAGGTAAGCTTTTTCATTAGAAAAATAAGTGTATGCTTTTATTTCTTTTTTCGTGTGTGTGTATGTATATTATATGCACTTTTTCACTTTGCTTTTAGCATTTAATAATATATTACTTTTATTACTTTTAAAGGATTCTCTTGAACTGTAAGTTTGTGTGTGTGTGTGTGTCTGTGTGTGTGTGACAGAGAGAGAGAAAGAGAGGGAGAGATGAAGCTATGTAGTTGAATATACTTTTCTTAAAATAAGGCTGCTGGGTGAAGGATTTTTTTTCAACCTTAAACAAGTAGTAAATTGGGTGACATTTGGCCTTTATAACAGATGAAAACCAGATGAGAATTTCTTTCTGCTCTAACCTCTGATGATTAGACAAACTCAGTTTCTTTAAATTCTGTGCTCAATATTTACACTGAATCTTTTTTTTTAAGATTTATTTATTTTATTTTATTTTATTTTATTTTATTTTTTATTATGTTATGTTAATCACCATACATTACATCATTAGTTTTTGATGTAGTGTTCCATGATTCATTGTTTGCATATAACACCCAGTGCTCCATGCAATACATGCCCTCTTTAATACCCATCACCAGGCTAACCCATCCCCCCACCGCCCTCCCCTCTAGAACCCTCAGTTTGTTTCTCAGAGTCCATAGTCTCTCATGGTTTGTCTCCCCCTCCAATTTCCCCCCCTTCATTCTTTCCTTCCTGCTATCTTCTTCTTCTTCTTCTTTTTTTTTTTTTTAACATATAATGTATTATTTGTTTCAGAGGTACAGGTCTGTGATTCATCAGTCTTACACAATTCACAGCGCTCACCATAGCACGTACCATCCCCAATGTCTATCACCCAGCCACCCATCCCTCCCACTCCCCACCACTCCAGCAACCCTCAGTTTGTTTCCTGAGATTAAGAATTCCTCATATCAGTGAGATCATATGATAATTGTCTCTCTCTGGTTGACTTATTTCGCTCAGCATAATACCCTCCAGTTCCATCCACGTCGTTGCATATGGCAAGATTTCATTCCATTTGTTGGCTGCATAATATTCCATTGTATATATAAACCACATCTTCTTTATCCATTCATCTGTTGATGGACATCTTGGCTCTTTCCATTGTTTGGCTATTGTGGACATTGCTGCTGTAAACATTGGGGTGCACGTACCCCTTCGGATCCTTACATTTGTATCTTTGGGGTAAATACCCAGTAGTGCAATTGCTGGTATTAGAAGTCCTAGCTACAGCAATCAGATAACAAAAAGAAATAAAAGGCATCTGAATCGGCAAAGAAGAAGTCAAAATCTCACTCTTTGCAGATGATATGATACTTTATGTGGAAAGCCCAGAAGACTCCACCCCAAAACTGCTAGAACTCATACAGGAATTCAGTAAAGTGGCAGGATATAAAGTCAATGCACAGAAATCAGTGGCATACCTATACACCAACAACAAGACAGAACAAAGAGAAATTAAGGAGTTGATCCCATTTACAGTTGCACCCAAAACCATAAGATACCTAGGAATAAATCTAACCAAAGAGGAAATGAATCTGTACTCAGAAAACTATAAAATACTCATGAAAGAAATTGAGGAAGACACAAAGAAATGGAAAAACATTCCATGCTCATGGATTGGAAGAACAAATATTGTGAAGAGGTCAATGCTACCTAGAGCAATCTACACATTCAATGCAATCCCTGTCAAAATACCATCAACTTTTTTCAAAGAAATGGAACAAATAATCCTAAAATTTGTATGGAACCAGAAGAGACCCCGAATAGCCAGAGGAATGTTGAAAAAGAAAAGCAAAGCTGGTGGCATCACAATTCCAGACTTCAAGCTCTATTACAAAGCTGTAATCATCAAGACAGTGTGGTACTGGCACAAAAACAGACACATAGATCAATGGAACGGAATAAAGAGCCCAGAAATGGACCCTCAACTCTATGGTCAGCTAATCTTCGACAAAGCAGGAAAGAATGCCCAATGGAAAAAAGACAGTCTCTTCAACAAATGGTGTTGGGAAAATTGGACAGCCACATGCAGAAGAATGAAACTGGACCATTTCCTTATACCACACACAAAAATAGACTCAAAATGGTTGAAAGACCTAAATGTGAGACAGGAGTCCATCAAAATCCTAAAGGAGAACACAGGCAGTAACCTCTTTGACCTCAGCTGCAGCAACTTCTTCCTAGAAACATCGCCAAAGGCAAGGGAAGCAAGGGCAAAAATGAACTATTGGGACTTCATCAAGATAAAAAGCTTTTGCACAGCAAAAGAAACAGTCAACAAAACCAAAAGACAACCGACAGAATGGGAGAAGATATTTGCAAATGACATATCAGATAAAGGGCTAGTATCCAAAATCTATAAAGAACTTCTTAAACTCAACACCCAAAGAACAAATAATCCAATCAAGAAGTGGGCAGAAGACATGAACAGACATTTTTCCAAAGAAGACATCCAAATGGCCAACAGACACATGAAAAAGTGCTCAATATCGCTCAGCATCAGGGAAATCCAAATCAAAACCTCAATGAGATACCACCTCACACCAGTCAGAATGGCTAAAATTAACAAGTCAGGAAACGACAGATGTTGGTGGGGATGCGGAGAAAGGGGAACCCTCCTACACTGTTGGTGGGAATGCAAGCTGGTGCAGCCACTCTGGAAAACAGTATGGAGGTTCCTCAAAAAGTTGAAAATAGAGCTTCCATACGATACACTGAATCTTATTTGAAAAGATAGTCTAGGATGAATAGATTAAAAATATTCTTAATGCAATCTCCCAGAAATGGCAATATAATCTTAATTTCTCTAAGAATAAATTTAGGTAATATGCCAGGTTTTGAAAGTCAGGTGCTTTCAGATGATAACTGGTAAGTATCCCATAACATGCAAAGCCTCAAACTAAATTTTTAACACCCAAATTCCCTATTCACACATGCACAGTCTTCACATTATTATAAACCATTATTTAAAAAATAAAAATATAAAATTTGAAAAAAAATAGGTAACCTGATTCTCAGGGCAGATCAAATTATTCAAAAATTTTGCCTTCCTTTCCCCAAACAGATACTGAAAGCAGTTAACCAAGATCAATATTAAAAGAGAATAAGCGAGTATATAGTTTTGGATATGTTGATTTTGTGTTGGCAAAGGACTTTTTTTAACCTTAAAGAAGTAATAAATTACATCAGGAGAATACTGACATTTAAGAAGAAGTTAGTAAAAGCAGAAAAATAGAACAAACAGGGGACTGAGAAGGAGGATTAATTAAGTGCAGCACAGGGACCACCGGTAGAATGATCTCTCAGAAGGCAAGAGAAGTTGAATCCTCAAGAAAGAGTGGCAAAGACGGAGGAATGGTGAAATTAGGTTAAAGCTTGAGGAACACCAGTTGGATTAGGACAATCAAAGGTCACTACAAACAATTTTGGTGAAGAGATTGGAATGGAAATCATATCAGAGTAGGTGACTGAGTGCACAAGAGGTGAGAAAGTGGGCCCAGCAGAATAGACAGCTCCTTTCTTTCAGGATAAGTAAGATACAAGCAAGAGGAATATGCATGGTTAAAGGAGGTTTGTGCTTGTTTGCTTACTTTTATGATAGAAGATAGTTGAGTACGTTTT